ACAGCAATTAAACCCTTAGGATTCAGATGCACCAATGTCCTAAGCCCAGCTCCATCACATACTAGTTCTGTGTTCATGTAGAACAGTTTGCTCCTCTGAGCCTCAGTTTGCTTCTGCCAAAAGCAGACAGTAATTATTTATTTAGGGTGCTTGGTACATTATAAGTAAGCTATTAACATTTGATTTTATTGCTGTTATATTATTGGTATTTTTTAGTCTCTGCTTCTGTTCTGTATACTCTGCAAAATATTGGTCACAGATGGTTTTATAGTTAATTCAGAAACAATATTTTGTTTATAAGCCTACTTTATTTTTAACTTGAGTATTTCCAGCTTGTAGGGTCATGGAGGTGGAAATAGAGAATATTTATTTATTTATTTATTTTAGGTAGAGACACCACCTAATTGAGGAACAATGCTTAATAAAGAGTCACCAGGGGGAGGGGGGGTGCCTGGGTGGCTCAGTCTGTTAAGTGTCTGCCTTGGGCTCAGGTCATGATCCCAGGGTCCTGGAATCGAGCCATGCATCGGACTCCCGGCTTAGCAGGGAGTCTGCTTCTCCCTCTGACCCTCCTCCCTCTCGTGCTCTCTGTCTCTCATTCTCTCTGTCTCAAATAAATAAATAAATAATAAAATCTTTAAAAAAAAAAAAAAGTATCTTTCCCTCATCCTTAATGGGAGTGCTGGCTCCCACTGATCCATGGGTTACCCTGGATACCTCTGTTAAATACTGTGTTTATGTCTGTTTCTAACATGTGATGTGTGCATCTCAAAGGCAAGCATTAGGTCTAATGTATCATCAGTCCTTAGTATGGTGCCTGGTATTTAGTAGATAATAAAGATGTATTGAATAGATTGTATTGCATAGAAAATAAAGGGCTCATTAAGGTATCTCATTAATAATTGATGGGTAATTATGGGAGTAGATCATGTGGGGCTTTGAATGCCATGATCAAGAATTTGTTATTAATTCCATCAACAAAGGGAATACACTGAATGGATTTAGAACAAAGAAGGAACATAATTGGACCTTAAGTTGCTTTTTTTTTTTTTAAAGATTTTATTTATTTATTTGGGAGGGTAGAAATCACGAGCGGGGGTGGGGGGTGGAGAAAGGCAGAGGGAAAGGGAGAGGGAGGGAGAAGCAGACTCCCTGCTGAGCAGGGAGATGGAGGAGGGGTTTGATCCCAGGACCCTGAGATCATGACCTGAGCCAAAGGCAGACACATAATGGACTGAGCCACCCAGGCACCCCTAGACCTTAAATTTCTTTACTAGAGTAAACACCTTGAGGGTTGGGCTTTTTTTGTTTGTTTCTTGCTCACTATTTTATTCTCAAATAAAATGTGACTTGTGTAGAAGTAGGAACTCATCATATATTTGAATAAACTAAGATGTGTTTTAGAACAGTACTATCTGATATGTCTTTCTGCAATGAGGGAAATATTCTGTATCTGTGCTATACAATATAGTAACCACTAGTCACATGCAGCTATTGCTCACTTTAAGGAATTGAGGAACTGAATTTTTAATGTTATTTAATTTTAATTAATTTATATTTAAATTTAAAGAGCCACATGTGACTCGTGGCTATTATGTTGGACAACACAGTGTGGACAGTTTTCCCTAGCAGGGTCCCAACAGAAAACAGATGGAACACTCAAATTAGGATAATTCAAGAAAATTTATTTATAGATAGACTTTTTCCAAATGTGTGGGCAGCTTTAAGGGAACCACAAGAGAGTTCAATTAACTGTGGTGCGACATGGGAGCAAGGGTGAGACAGAATTGATGGAAAGACTCGTAGTTAAGATTATAAGCCTGGATCACATTGGAATAGCATTTATAATGTGCATTAGTACTTTTAATGAAATTTCACTGAATGAAATCTATGTTCAGAACTGTTCTTTTCAATAAAGTCTTTCCTGACAGTTTATTTACTGATGAGGAATGTGATTGCTTTCCCTATACAGTGCTGTTCTGTGCTGTGTTTTCACAGCATTTTTCCCGCCTGGTACTCCACAGTAAGTGGTACCTTTTCCATTAGCAGGGCTGTGCTGACTTACTGGTGGCTCCTGTCAAGGTTCCTTTAAGAAGCATCTTCTCTTCTGAGCACCTAGAATGTAGGCAGGGTCTGACTGTTATCTGTGGTTATGTTTTAATATCCTGCCCTTTCCATCCCTTACTTCAACATACACAATTCACCTTCAGTCCTAGCTCATTGCTTGATGATTTGTTAAGGCTTTGAAAACAGAAGGAATGAGGGCTTTTAAGCAGGATGGGGCTATTTCTCCTTTATTTATTTTTATGCCATACAAAAGGAATAAAGAGGCATAAAATGGTTTGACTGAGTGAAATAAATCTGGGTAAATAGAGCAAGGACCCAGTAAAAAGCTGGAGGTGAAAAGAAGAAAGGTGGGGGTGAGGGGATACATGGAAGGAAGAAGGGAAAACTTTATACTTCCTGTAGTGATAGGGACTATTTATTATTACCTAGAGAACAAAATGTCTTTGACCCAATGAAACATCTTAAACTAAGATTAAGCTCTGGGTAGAAATTAAGAAATCATCTTTATAGTCCTTATTTAATCCCATCAGGTTGTCACCTCCTGTCATCCTTTATTAAAGTTTTGTATGCCACTGCTGTTTGTTCTGAGAGGGTTGACATTTTCTAGTTATTCTGATGAATCTCATCACAGAAGCTAATGAGTTTTTATTGTCAACACAACAGGAATCTCCTGTGTTATTTCTGATGTCCTGTGTGAGGGGTGGGGAGGGGGAGGTATCTCTTCATTCTGTCCCACTCCTGACCCCTTTTACTATCTCTGCTTTCATGAAGTTGAAAGAGACAACCAAGAGCTACACTGCATGAAACTGGAGAATACGGGCTAGGTTCTTTAGGTAAAATTAGAAACTGTCTTATAGCCCATTGTGTATCTGCTTATGCCATTGCCTTCCATGGCTCTGCATTAACTTTTCATAATTTTCTACTGCTGGCATGGGTAATGCTGGGTAGGGGCTGTTAGGTAACCACAACTTTCATCTGGTTGATTGCCACCATTGCTTTTATTGCCCTGACATCTAGAATTTTATTTGTCTCTATTTCTTCCTCCCTCTTATCTCCAGTTCTTTCACTAGATACAGTCTCCATCATGTACACATTGCACACTCATCCTCAAAAAGAAAAAGTGGCAAAAGACTTAGTAGTCCTCTGTTGTTTCCCCCTAGGAGGCATCTAGAAATGCGTGCAACCAATATTATTGGAATTTAGTAGACAGGGGCCCATGGTTGCCAAACATCTTGCAGTGTATAAGGTGGTCTCAAATGATGGTGATTTTTTTCCATCTTAAATATTAGTAACGCCACTGATGAGAAAATCTAGGTATAACTGAGGTTTAGGTGGGTACCAGTGACCTCAGCTAATAGAGGATTTTAGCTGTGCCTTGATGGGTAAATGCTAAAATCTCCTAAAGAATCTAGTATGATACCTTCCTGGCATTTGGTAGGCTCCTAATAAAACTATGTTTGTTCTTAGTTAAGTTGTTCACTTTTGAACTAGTCAACACCATTCAATAAGTCCTCTGCAAGTTACTTTCAGGAATAGAAAAAAAAAAGCTATACTTGTCAATATCAAGATTCTAACAGTATTGTAGGAGTGATGAACTTGCATAGAAACAAATATTGGGAAATTTTCAAAATGCTATTTGGAACAAGGAAAGGTGAGAGTTTACTCTTGAGGAGAGTTGGTGGGGGGAACTCTTTGTGGAAACCATTGAGGAAGAGGTAGGATTTTAGCAGCAGCTTATTTTGCAGACAGTTGCTGAAGTCAAGAGTACATTATATATAAGAACTTGGGGGAAGAGATAGACATGTGTGGAAATATTGTTACTGGGAAGGATAGTACTTGAGATGATGTGACAGAAGATGGAACTAAACAAAGGTTGGGATAGAGTATATAGATGGTCTTGAACTTCTTGTAAAGAAGTCTCTTCACTTGAAGGTATGGATTTATGTGTGAATGTAGTCATCAGGCATAGTGTATGACACACTGCCTAATGGTCTATACTTTACCTCAATTTCCTTCTTCATGGAGTCTGTGCTGTAAACTCCCTCAGTTATCAGCTGCTTAAACTTACCTTCCTGATTTTCAAGGTCTCCTCTCAAGAGCCCTATTCAGTTTATTAATTTAAATGGTAGCAATTTTCTTAGAGGTGAATCGCATAATGATTTTTTTCAATCTTTTTTATACAAGATAGCACTGAAAAAAGTATGATTAGATTCAATTCAGTTTTCTCCCACAAAAGTAATATGTAGAAAATACCAACCAAGGTGACTCTCTGTTTGCTTAATAGCCTAAAGATTTAGGTTAAGGATATAACAGAGAACTGTTCTGCTTAAAGAAATGCAAAGGTGTTGCACAAATTATCTTAAAGAGCCAAAAATAGCATCCAGTTCCTGCTTGAAACAATTTGTTCTTGGAATATTGTAAGCTAAAATTGTGGTCAACTTTTGCAAATTGTATGAATTTGCACTGCATATTTTATTTGGTGTTTAGCAAAACTCCAATATGGCTCTGCATAACTTACACAATACACCATGAAAATGACTTCAGAAACTCCCACGGAGGTTGACAAATTGGGTGTCTAATGCTTTTAAAGTAATTGCGTGCTTTGAGGTTAAAGAGTCGACTTGTTAAGAATGAAGATCAGAGTTTCTTGGAGAGAATGCTCTGCCGACTGCCCCACTGAATGCAACCCAGCCCCATATAAGAAATGTTACAGAAGCTTAATGAAGAAAATAATGTGAGCTTTAATCACCATTCTACTTAGTCTTAAGTGAAGTGCTCATGAATCATACGCAATATCATAGCAGTTTTGAAACCTATTCTTGAATTTTCAAGCTGTTATATTCAGGAAATTTAGAAAGCAAATTGCTAAGTGATAAAGAGTAATCTGATACCATTGCTTATGCCATTTTTTTTTTTCTCTTTTGCAGGCTGGAAAAAAGGAAAGGAGTAATACCCTGAATATTGCTATAGACAACATGTGTAAGAAGACAAGAGACCTTCGCAGACAGGTGAGGGAAGAGAGGCATGGAGACAGAAACACCGTACAAAATGAACTTTTTTCCACTGCTAGAATATTTCCTTCTTGTTTTTGTCCTTCTTCAATTAATTTAGAAAACAAAACAAGAGTAAATATGTACCTTCCATATTTACATACCTCAACCATTTTTGTGGCAAACATAAAGTAGAAGAAAGAGCATGTGACTTAATATCAGGCTGAATTACATTCAAATGCTGGCCCTGCCCTCATCAGCTGTGTGAGCTCGGGGACAAATTTAATCTTTTTGAGCCTCTCTGAACCTATAAAATGGAATTCATAATACATAATTGGACTGTGAGGATTAAATGAAATGCCTATCAGTGCCTGCTCCCTAGTGACGCCACATGGAGAGCGGGAAGAAGAAGAATTTAATTCTTCTTGGTGAATTTAATCTGTTACATTAGAAACTAGTTTATCATCCATATGCTTATAGCAAACAGCTAGTAATCAGAAATGTACCAATTTGGTCTTTCAGTTATTTTCAGAATGCTTCAAAAATTAGTTGCTGCTTAAGCTAAGGCTACTTTGTAGCCTTAGGTCATCAGTAACATAGGGTTAGGAAGGATTTCATTAGATAATTTAGAAGTCCAGTATTATGCCACAAGTTAAATTATTCCCCCCGGAAATATGAAGACTTAGCTATTTTCAAAGACCTTTGCTTTCCATTATTTTCCACTATATAGTAACCAGAGTTGTTTTTCATGCACAACTTCAACTTGGTCACCATTAACTCATAAAAGAGAAGCAAAAGCTTTTCAACCATAAGCTTTTAATGCAATATATTATTGTAGTTTAATGGGAAGATTTAGTAAAATGGCCTGAGTAATCTTTTAATTCAGAAGTAGATTTGGAAATTGAATAAATAGGGATTCCTCAGCCAGTTAATATTAGCTGTTAAAAAAGAAAAACAATTCTGAGGGTCGGGGAAATTCCAATTTCTCAACTTTATGGCCTTAATGTGAATTCTGTTTCTACTGTCAGCACTTAGAATCATGGAATGTAAGAGTTGAAAAGAAGTTAGCTCAACTTGTCTTATAATGCAGATGAGAAAGCACACCTGTGGTGAGGTGGCCTGCCTAAGGAGGAAGGGGCATCGAACCTACACCAGGTCATTACCTACACTAAACTCAGGAACTTTTACCCAAAGCGCCATCCTCCCTCTTCATTGCAGGACTTCTATTCTCAATCTTCTTGAGGATTTCTATTCCATTGGCTCCTCTTGGGACTTAGAAAAGCTGTTCTGTGAGCTATCAACAATGTGTCTTTCATTTCTGTCTCATCCCTCTCTATTGCCTTCAACAAAATGTTAATCTACATTTATGCCCCCAAAGCTTTAGGAACCATTAATTAAAAAAAAGTCAAGATAAATCAATCCTTTATGTGTCAGATTACTAGATTTAGCAAATAAAAGCACAAGATACCCAGTTGAATTTGAATTTCAGATTAATAACAAACATGTTTAATTATGTCCCAAATATTGCATGGGACATAATTATATTAAAAAATAGTGTTTTTATATGAGATTTAAATTTGACCAGGCATCTTGTATTTTATTTTGCAATTCTACCTGTGTTTTCCCCTCACTAACATCAGTGAGATATAGAAAGAACATGGGGGATTACTAATACTTTTCTTTATAGTAAAGGGGTATTACCAGCTTGTAAAAAACTGCTGTGTTCCAGAAGTATGAAAATTCTCTATGGTTTCTATAGGGCAACATATTCATTGTTTTGATTAAGTATTGTTGTTTAACAAAGGACTACAAACAACAGCAACCATTTTATTATGTTTCATGATTCCATGGGTTGGCTGGGGGTCAGCAGGGCCATGTTTGTACCCTTGACTTATGGTCTCCCAGGTAGTGGCAGGCAAATGGTGACTGTTCAGGGCTGGGTATTTGAGGCCTCGGTGCTTCTTCTTCCCACTCTCCATATGGTGTCTAAACTCCTAGGACCCCTTCATGCAACTTCTCTCTCCCACAGGGTAGCCTGGATTTCTTGCATGATAGTTCAGGGCTCCAAGAAAGGAGAGATGGAAGCTGCCAGACCTTCTTAATGCTTAAGCTCCAAAGTGACCGGAATGCTATTTCTTCCCCATTCCATAGATAAGAATAGTCATGAATCCTGTCCCAGGTTAAGAGGACCAACAGAACCTCAAGAAGTGATATGTGTGTACAGGATGATGTGGTATTGTTAGAAATTTGTCTCTGGAGATATCTGTGGTCTTCAGTGTCAGTGAGGTAGTTGCTATGGTTTGTTTTCAGTATCCTTATTTGCCCTCCCTAGGACTTCATTTTCCATCCTGATGTTTATACTTTTGCAATAATAAAAACTAGTTTAACAGCAACGTGAGTTATCTCCACCTTTTCCTATTCTTGCGAAGTTTATCAAGCAGTTTGTTTTAAGCATCTTATATATACTCTTGCACACAGGAAGAAGAAAGTCCCTACCCTTAAAATATTTTTCTTTGGAATATTTAATGTTCATATATTATTGTAGATCTGTTTTTGTTTGCATGTTTATTTTTAGTAAACAATAATCAGAACACATCTTCTTGCCCATTTATCTAATCTCCTTGTTTACCCATGGCTTGTCCATCAGCAACACAGAAACATTTTGAATTTCCATGAGATATTTCTATGAGATACATTGTTTAGACAGATCTATGGGGGGGAGGGGAAGCAAATTACACATTTTGGGACAATAAAATGAAATGACCCAGAAAGTGACTTAGTATTTATTTCTATGAACCTTATTGCTTTGTGACTTTCTTGCCTGTTATCAGAGAGAACAAAGACAAAAGTCCTTGGCATGGTGTTCCAGGTTGTCTGTGATTTGGCCATGACTTTAATTGACATTATTTGTAATGTTCCTTCTCTTTCACTCTCTCAGTTCCTCCTCCTCACCAAACCACACATTAACCTGTTCTCTGACTAAAGAGTCTACTTACTATTCACCAAATTTTCCATTACCTCCCACCCCCAAAACACATGTGTCTTTGTATATATGGCTTGTTTAACTTGGTGCTTTCCCCACTCCTCTTGCTTCCTCCACCTAACCCCTAATCAACCTGAGGAACTTCAAGACTAATGTAAATGCTACTTTTCCCATGAAACCTTTACCATTATCAGTAGCTGGAATTATTATTTTCTTTCTTTCTGGAGCACTTATAGCATGCGTAGTTCTTTTATAGTAGTGATCATATTCTGCATGTGTTTTTCTTTTTTAATGGATTTTTTCTTCCCACTGGATTTTATATCCTTAAAATGATAGTTATAACAACATCTTTCACTTAGTAGTGCTTTGAAAAGCTCTCTACAAACTCCTTACATTAGTCTTTACATTATTGATTTTTATTTCTGAAACAAGAAATAATGCCATAGTATTATTATCTCAGTTTCTCAGGTGAGTCAATTTACTGAACATCACTTAGCTAACTGGTAGAGCCAAGGTTTGAACCCAAGTCCACCCAACCCAGCCCAAACTGTAACCACCATGTGAGGGGTCAGGGATAATGGCCTTTTCACCCTCAGAACTCCCACTGCATAATAAACTGATTTTACCATCCTAATTTTTTTCTTCCTTACTATTTATTTTACAAGTTTTTTTTAATTAAAATTTTTTCTTCCTTTAGTCTCCTTCCCCATCACTTATTTGAGAACTGCATACCTATTACAATTCTTAGTAAGGGAGGAAGATTTTTAAACCTCATTTCTTTGTTTAAAAAATTAAAACAATTAAATATATTCCATTTCTACTGTATTATGCAGAGTGAAACACACATTTGATTTCACTAAAGGCAGGTTAAAATTTTTATTTGTGTATATTGAGAAAAAAAATTGCCTATTTTATAAATGCCGAAGTAAGGACTTGAGGTATGTCAAATTAAATAGGATTCTGATAAAACACAAACAAAACAAAAATTTGGCTGACTTTTTAGTTGCTGAGTTGTTGAATTGCTATATGCATCTCTTCTCCATTTTGGTAGTATCAGTGCCACACTTAGAAAAAAATATGTATGTCCTTATACCTCCCCTTCATCATCCTCATAATGAAATAATATTAGCAATCCAGGGCACCTGGGTGACTCAGTAGGTTAAGCATCTTCCTTTGGCTCAGGTCATGATCCCAGGGTCCTTGGATGGAGTCCCACATCAGGCTCCCTGCTCAGTGGAGAGTCTGCTTCTCCCTCTGCCCCTCCCTCCCCTGCTCGTGCTCTGTCTTTCTCACACACAAAAATAAATAAATAAAATCTTTAAAAAAATATTAACAATCTATAAGATACAAGTATCATTAAGTTGACACAGTAGGTATATATTGAATTAATTATTAGGTGATTTAGTTGCTAATAGTCAATTGAGTTGTGACAGTCACATTTTGCTATTTGACTTAAAATTACAATGGCATTAATATACACATGTATAATTTTTTTCTAGTTCCCTGAGGACAATTCTTTTCTGAGACACTTTCTTTTCTTTCCATTCCTCTTCCCTCACAATTTCATTCTTTCTATTCTCTTATATAGTGGTGGTGGAGGCGCTGCTATCTTATAGTTTTCACATACAGCTTTCACTTTTGGGTTTCAATTGTAGAGAAATATATTATTTTATTTGAGATCCCAAACCACTTACATCAGTGGGAAATAGAAAAATTGATGTCTCAAAGCCTGTTATTAAACCATAGTGAGAAAAGATGGAAAACCCCTCACTTTGATTTTGTGCCTGACATCTTTCATGCCTGGCCACAAACAGATATTTATTGAAAATACATACGTCTAACTCCTATTGGCCTCCCACTAACTTCAGATTTTAGTGCTGCAGCTTCTAAAGTTGTCCTGTTTTTACACTGGCATGTTGGATTCTTCTTTAAAGTTTTTTGTGGGGCGCCTGGGTGGCTCAGTCGTTAAGCGTCTGCCTTCGGCTCAGGTCATGGTCCCAGGGTCCTGGGATCGAGCCCCGCATCGGGCTCCCTGCTCAGCGGGAAGCCTGCTTCTCTCTCCCCCACTCCCCCTGCTTGTGTTCTGCCTCTCGCTGTGTCTCTCTCTGTCAAATAAATAAATAAAATCTTTTTAAAGTTTTTTGTATATCACTCAAGTGAAAGGAAGGAGTTGTTCCATTGGGTGGGAAAATAATATGGAAATTAATAAGATAGAGGCTTCTTACATATTATACACAGATATAGGTGAGTGTACAATTTAAATGAAAAAAAATCCCATATGTCAGAATGTGCCAGAACATATAAAGAAAACTACTTAGCATAGCATTTGAAGCATTCCATATCTTGTCCCTATATGCATTTCTAGTCCTCTCTCATAATAATTCCTCTTTCAACGTCAGTACACGGGATGACAGAATCAAATTCAGTAGTGTGCAAAGCAGAAGTGGTAAAGTATGATCATCAATGGGTAGTTTATATAAAACGTCAGAGTCTGTTACTTGGTACATGATCAAACAACATTATCACCAGACAAATGTGTCTATTTTATATTAGATTCCCCTGAAAGCAGTTCCTAAGACCAGAGCCTTAGCGCAGGTAGTTTATTTAAGAGACAATTCCAAAAAGCATGTGTAAGAGAACATGCTTTTTGGAATTGTGGAAGAGAACAGGCAGGGAAGGAGGAAAAAATATGCTATTTGGGGTTCCTACTGTAGGCAGCAGGAACTTAAGGATCTCTGAGAAGGGACGGAATGTCTCCCAGAATTGTCTAACCAGTGGATAGAGACCAGGAATTTTGTCTGGCAGCTCCCATCTCCACTGATTGATAGTTGTTCCCAGTGGTGTTCCCTCTTCAGAACTTCCGGGCTGTCTGTGCTTGGGCTGAGACTCTCACAGAGACTTGGAGCAGACCCTAAGAAAGAATAACAAAGAGAAGCATGGAATGCATTCGAGGTGGGATGTCTTGAAAGGATAAGGAACTGTTCCCTTACAGCAACAGCTGAAATCAGAGACTGGTCCAGTGGTTGAGACATCATCTTTTAATCTTTTTGTCTTATTTTGTTCTTTTTACCTGAAATCCTTTCCATTACCTCTACTGTACCTAAGAAATCCTGTTTCAATCCTTACTCTATCACTGTGTTCTAGTCACACTAAATTCATGTGATGTCTTGAGGATCCCTTTATTTATTTATTTATTTGTTTATAGCTTATGATAGTCTTTATTCTACAATGCTATGCTTTCCATTTCCCAACCCCTACTCTTAACAGGTAATTCAGCTTTTAAAATGGAATACATATGTCTCATCTTTACAGAAGGCTTTTTAACCGTAACAATCCAAGTTAATTGTTTCTTATTTATTTATGCTTCTTTTAAGATACTCATCAAACTCTTTTTGCACCTCTCACTCCCTAATATTACCCTGTCTTTGTTATCCTGACATTCCCAGGTTGCTTAGAATGGTGCCTTGCCCTTAGAGAAAAAGCTCAAAGTGCATTTGTTAAACTGAATGAATATACAGCTATAGGAAAGAAGATTAATTTTGCTCATTATATTTGAATTATAGTATGTCAGGTAATTCTGGCCCATTTTCCAACAGAATTTTGAAAGCATTGGCATAAAACTTATTTGTAAACTCATTTTTCAGTCCTTATGTCTTGTCTTACTGAACATAATATCACATGCCCATCGTACACCTTTTCTCATTTACTGTGTTTTGTACTTAGCAACATGTCTTAGTATAAAGTTAAAAAAATGTATTTCTAACGTGGTTTAATTAAAAAAATTAATTTAGCCAAAGCATTTATTTATTTATTTATTTATTTATTTATTTATTTATTTATTAATAGTAAATTAGCTGTACCTCAAGCCTCACCTTTGCAACATGTTTTAGCACTTCTGTATGGAATGAAGGATTGAATGAATAGCAGTGAAAACATAGCTGAAAACCTTGGAAAGAAAAAAAAGAACAGGGGAGTAAATACCATTAAAATAAAGGGAAGACAAATGGTAGTACCACAGAGGGGAAATGCACAGACCAAAGCAAATGTATCCACTGCTGTGAGATTGCTGTAACTATTCAAATATTTACAAACATTCGCACAGTGTGGGACAATACTTACTCTCTATCTCTCTAGATTTTTCTATGTGACAAAGCAAAATGTATTTTTTTAAAAGCACAAGAGAAGAGTCTAACTTTCTGGGTATAGTTGTAGATGGGAACATACATCAAAGTCTTTTATATGAGAAACAATCACTTTTCAAACCTGTGTCTCAATGTGGTTAATACCAAGTCTTGCATCTTCATGTAATAATCAAATTACTAGAAATAGGAGTTTATTCTCACTGTCTCCACCCCCACTCATCTCCCATTCATTCTTCAAACTATTGCAATAGGACTCCGGCTTCTACTTTTCCACTCAGACTTCTCTCACTAAGTTAATCAATGCCTCTTAGTGGTCAAATCCATTAGACAAGTCTTAGTTCATTTTATTTAACTTACCTTTAAAATTAGACTCCGAAACTCATTATCTTTTTGAAATTTCTTTGCTGTCAGTTTCCTGATTTTTCCCTTATTGTAACATTTAATGACTTTCACTTCTCTGTTAGATTGTAGGGACCATGCATTTCCATCTTGCTATATTTTATAATAGCTTGCTCTTGGTAGAAAGGTAAGGAAATGATGTTTAGAAATAATTGTTGAATTGAATGGAATCAAATACACAGAAAAGAAGATTCAACAAGTCCATAATATGGGTACTATAATTGCATCTGGTACATAAGTTCATTTGGAGAGAGCATTGACGTAGATTTATTTGAAAGTTTCTCTTTTAGTTGTTGGTCATTTGCTCTCTTTGTTTTTGACCATCATCTCAGTCTCTTTTTAGATCCTACTCTTCCATCTGCGTGATTCCCATATATGGTAATATTTCCTAAGATTTTATTCTTGGACATCTCCTCACTGTGCATGATCCTATCTGCCTCCTTGGTTTGAATTACCTCCCATATGTATGTTGGCTATTAATTGCATATCTTTAGTGCAGATCTCCTCTTAGCCCTCCTTCTATATATCCTAGTTATAAATGAAAGAAAAAAGAACAAAAGGGAGGGATGATAATTGAAAACTGTTCCCCCTCTGAGATTCCTTCTACTTTTACGTATTTGGAACTAGCATAACTTGTAGTTCCCAGCTCAAGTCCTAACTTGTGATTCGTTGCCTGACTTCTCTGGTTCACTCTTTATGGACATCAAATACATTGTTCATTCACTCAAGGTCTTCCCTTGCCTTGTAACTCCTTAGTACTCTGCACTCTGTCTTAGTAAGTGCTCAGACAATATTAATTAGTTGCTATTAGTGATCTGCCTTTCTGCATGCTAAGCAGATTCTTTCCTTGGGGATCTCCCATAGCCTTTGTGAAATCGTTAGAAGCCAGAAAATTTCACAGTTCTTTTGCCTAAGATGTAACATCTTAGGCAGAGGTATTTTTTTCTCCCAGAAATCTATAATTATTATGGATTTATTATCCTATAAATATTATAGGAAGATGGTGTTTTTTTTTTTTTTAATGCAGCTACAGTAGCATTCTCATGTAATCCAAAACTAGGGTAATTGTCTATTGGTTTTAGAAAATGCTCTAAAACATAATTTTCACAGAAGGCAAATTATAAATTTCTTGTCTGATAGCTACTCATCTCTTTGTTTTATTGTGCAGAGGTTATTAAATTAAATAAGGAGGTTGACTAGAAAATTAGAGAGCCACTCATAGTCATTGACACTGTTGGATGAAACTTTTTAAGATACTGTGATCCTTTAGGACTCAATATTACATAAATACAATGCATTAATTTTCCAATGCAGTGTTAAATTTCAGAAAATATCTGCTGAATAAAGTAATTGCCTGATTGTCATTTATGAGCTTACACATAATCTAATTTAAAATAACTAATTGTAGCAGAATGTTATACTTGTTTAATAATTTAAGGTGTAAGGGCAAGAACAATTAATGCAGATGAAGAAAATTGGACATCAAACTCATTTATTATTCTCCTTGCTCTATTAATCTGTTATCAACTGGCATAATTGGTGATCTAACTTGGTTTAATTACCATGAAGACTACAATTTAGCTAATCAAAATTTATCATCACTTCCTCCAACAAAGTAGAAAACATTTCATAATTTTGTAATTATGAAAATACATGATGTACAATGTTGTTTGTACACATGCATAAACATTACAATAGTACAATTTCTTTGAGGGAAAATGGAGTATTATCACTTATAATCTGACCTCTGGGCTAGATATAATTTAAGAAAAAAATAGTGCATTTTGAGAGCAAGAGAGCTATTGCTCAATGATTATTTTTCCTTGGATATTTTGTTTTAACTTTGTAAGTGACATTCATACACAGTCTTAAATATTAGTTCAGAGATTGTGTAAAAATGTGTAAGATCAATTTTGTAACTACTGAGATTGTAAAAACAGGAAATAACATGAACAATTCTCTGAAAAAAAAAAGTGAATTTTTTTATTTCTCCTCAGCTCCGTAAGGCTATTATAGATCATGTGTCAGACTCCTTTTTGGATACAACAGTCCCACTTTTGGTTCTCATTGAAGCTGCCAAGAATGGCCGAGAAAAGGAAATAAAAGAATATGCTTCAATATTTCATGAACACACCAGCAGGCTTATAGAGGTAAGCATGCTAGAACTGTAACTACTCTAAATCCAGGAGAATGAAGCTCTCATTCCCCTTTTACAGTTGAATTGTACTCAGATAAAAACTTTTGAAAACTTATTACAAATGAAGCCAAGTTCAGTATTTTTTATGTATATTTTTTAAAAGGTACACACACACACACACACACACAAACTTGTTAAATGCAGATACTTTGTTTTATCTTTACAAAGGTTTTCTTCCTGTTCTAACATGAAAGTATTAAATACTTACCTCATGCCATTTTATTATTTCTCTACCATCTTTTCATGGCTGTATTACTCCGTCAGCCTTTTCAATTATATTCAACCATGTAACGTGACTATAGAAAAAGAATGCCAGATATACAGGGGTAGAAATATCCGGAATAAGTAAGTGGGGATAGTAGATTGGTCCATGTCCCAGTAGAGGCAAGAGGAGATGATACAACTATAATTTCTTCAGCTTGGAAGCTGGAAGCATGGAAATGCCCCATAATTTGGGGGCAAGGTGGCATATTGCTGAAAGAGCCATAAAATGCTAGACAAATTCTAGGAAACAGATAATAGAACCTATTGTATTATGAGGCTCAGTAAGGCGGCCACAGTATAAGAGAGTCTGAATGGAAGGATTTCTAACACCAGTAAGGTGACAGTACTCACACGGCCAGGAACTGGTAGTGGAAAGGGGAAACTGTGCTTGATTGGATTCATATACCAGAGCTGATCTACTGCTAGGACTCATCAGTATGACTGCACTGTTGTTTATGGCTAGTGTCTGCTCTCATTGGCAGCACCATGCCATACTGATTATTAAATGTTCTGACTGCCACACCTTCATATACTGGCCATGAACTTTGTGGTGAATATGTTTGGGGGCTCAAATTACTTGTAAAATCGTGTGAATCAGAAACAGACACCATCTGAATTAGAATCACAGCATTTTATATAACATCTATTAAAATAGAGGACTTTCCCAATGTCTTTAATGTAGATCCACTGGGAAGGAAGTTTCCAATGTAGCTAGCATTTGCACTATAAACTCTCTGGTTCCTAGTCTTCACACCTAGAAAGTGAAAGGAGTTGATAAATAGATAATTACAGATCATTTCAGCCCTAAAACTGAACTACCTCCAACTCTGAAATCTACTTGGAACTTCCCAAGAACTCTGTGAGACCAGGGTAACTGTTATAATTCCCATTGACCTTAGGTGGAAATAAAGGTACAAACCCAGACCAGACTAATTAGAGCCGAAGCTGATTTCCAGGCTTACAATTTTTAACTAATTCATTCAATTATTTACTATATTTCTCATATTATTTATTCCCTCTTGTATTCATTCCTCAAGTATGTATTCAGTCTTCCCCCCAGGAAAATGTTAAAGTAAGAGGCAAAGCAGAAGGAACAAATCATTAAAGGCACCTAAGTGTAGCTCCTGACAATCATAATCATATTTTCTAAAAATATATTCTCTAAGCTGAAGGCACACCAAATTATGAAAACAACTTTTTGGTGAAATATTCTGAAAGTAAAAGTTGATTTCTGCTAAAAAAGTTACATCCCTATTCCTATTTCTTAGTTTAGTGTAGCTGTGAAACATAAAACTCCTAAGGTGCTCAATAAAGAAGGGCTTCTTGATCACAGTTTTTGGGGAAAAATTCTAAAATCTCTTGGAGATTTTACAGTTCTGAGAAATCCATAGATAAGAAGACCTCTTTAATTTAAGTCAGAATTTCCCCAAATCAGTTTACCTAAGGAGCTCTTCCTTCCATGACACTTATTGCTAAAGCTGTGCCTTGAAGGAATGCTTGAGAATGATACCTTAATTTATTGTGAAATGATGGTTTATTATTATGAAGACAGAGCTCTAATAATGTTTTAAAAATTAAAGGATCTTGAAAATTCCATATTTCACATGAACATTGAAAGAATAAAAGATTTTGTAATTTTGAGCTCCTGGGGGACTGAGAATGAGTTTCATTTAATGTTGAAAGTCCCCTTAATACATATAATGAGATTATACGAGCTTTGGAATCACAGTTCTTATTCTTATTCTTATTCTTCGTATTACTTAGAAACTGGCCTAAGTCATTTTCAGTTCCAGTTAGCTTATGCTACATAACACACCATCTCCAAACGTAGTGGCTTAAAACAACCATTTATTATTCTTTCACTGATTTGTAGGTTGACTGGGCAGATGGGCAACTCTCACTTAGGTTCTCTCATGTGATTACTGTCAAATATTGGCTGGGTATGGAGCCCTCGAAAGGTTTGACTGGGCTTGGCATACAAGATGTCACATTCACATGACTGAAAGTACATGAGAGCTATCAGCTGGGAGCTTAGCCATGGCTCTTCCCTGGAGGACCAATACATGGCCTTTCTATGTGGCTTCAGCTTCTTGCAGAATAGTTGCTGGTTCAGAGATGAGAGATCCCAAAAGCAAGTCAGAGACAGGAAGTAGATACTGATATCCTCTTAAGGCCTGGGCCCAGAAATTGGCAGAATACCACTTCCACTATATATTATTGGAGCCTGCCCAAACAGGAGGGGAGGCAGAGAGGTGTGAGACTTCACCTCTCAATGGAAAGAAGAGCAAAGTATGTGGCCACCTTTATTCTACTATACTTCTCTTCTCAGGACTTCATTTGCTTTATATAAAGTGAAGGTTAACGAGATAATGTCTAAGGTCACTGTCAGTTTCTAAAATTCTATGATAAATACTTTTTACAATTGAGAGACTTCTAATTTTCTTTTTATTTTTTTTAAAGATTTTATTTTATTTATTTGAGAGAGAGAGAGAGAAAGGGGGAGGGGCATAAGCAGACTCCCCGCTGAGCATGGAGCCCAATGCAGGGCTCGATCTCACAACCCTGAGATCATGACCTGAGCCAAAATCAAGAGAACTGACTGAGCCACCCAGGCGCCCCAAGACTCCTAATTTTCTTACAGCTATAGACTTTGGAGAAAATGAAAGTGTTTTTTAAGTATACAGCTTGCCCACTAGGTTGTTTGTATATATATCAAGAAGAAAAAAAAAAAAAAAGAACACTGCATTTATCTTCCAGGAAACGTTCTTTGTGAAAGGAGCTATCTAACCAAGGCAACAGAGAAAATCATCATTACAAACGTTGAGCCAAAAGTGTCTGTGACAGAGTCCAGGGAAATAGGAGAGCTTAAATATATGTTTCAGAAGACATTGTAAGTTTACTTTGTATAGATTGTTTCCAACCCTCCACCTTTGTTTTCCCTACTCCTCCTCCACCCAGACTACTTAGACTCATCTTATTCCCAAATTGGGTAATTTGAGAGCAGGACAGAAAATCTTAGATTCTGAATGACTTCAAGGAAAAGCTATTTTCAACATGTCTGGGTTTTGATACCTCAACTGTGTTTGTCAGAGAAATCTAAAATCAGTGAACTTGTTGCAGTAAGACTTAAATGGAAAGAAAAGTCCATTTTTAAAGAATTCCTATCAGATCTTTGAAGAAAAACTCCATGTTGTTAAAGGAACACTTTAGATAGTGGTTAAAATTGTAACTTTTACCAAAAAAAAAAAAAAGAAAAAAAACCCTGGATTTGAACACAAAGAAAAAATAATTAGGCAACCAAAAGGATTTGGGGTATTGGAGAAAAGAAAGTGGGAATGAGGAGAAGAGTGGCCAATAAATTGGGCCTGAACTTTCCCATCCTCTAGTGGGGTCATGTCTGAGGTCTCCTGTTATATTATCATGTTTGGTATAAAATGATCATGGGTGAAATGATGGTTATAAAACCCTGGGTAGTGTCAATAACTGGAGAACCTAGATCCTTATGGCTAATTTTGTTTAGTTATGCTGAACTAAGTAATTATTATGCAAAGCTTATCCTACTTTGCACATCCAAGTTGCTCTATGTTTTTGGATCCACCAAGCCACAGTAGGGATGAGAAGAAGGAGTCAAAAGGTTGGCATTTTAAAAATCATCTTTACATCGTGATTAGCAATTTAATGACAAATATGCTCATTGAATTATACTCCCCAATATTTGATCTTGCACTGATGGTGAAATAGGGCACCATTAACTCTACTGACTTCTACCAATAATACCTATTAAACAGGAAGTTTAAAATATTGATTTTACCTTAAAATTTAAAGTATTCACTAATTCTAGAGAGTAAGAATTTTATCTGTCATCACATTGAGCCTATTCTGTTAGCCAAGTCTATGCAGCTAGTACTCCATAAATCTGCACTGAATGAAGGAACACATTCATAACACTAACTCACTTTTGTTTCTCTCTAAAAAGTTAACTTCCAATAACTGGACTTGGGACCATGTCTGAGCCCAGTTACTTGGTAGGGTGCCTTCCTATTCTACTGCACATGAATACTTGAAAATAATTCTTCACAATGATATTAGCAAACACCTTTGCCATCAATTATCAAAAGCAAACACTATAAACTCTACTCCAGATCTCCTGAGGGAATATGGAATATGTCACAATTAGATAACATTTTTAAAGAACTTTGCCCACTTCAGAGATAATAGTTTGTAACTTTAATGTGATAATATAATTGTTATTCAGAAGAATGCCATTGCATTCAATACATGCATTGCTTATTACAATGGCTGTTATTTAATATTTCTTTAAAATTAATTTCTAAGAACTCCACTATTATTCTTGAATCATACTACAATTTCTTCTCAGTGATCAGTTCATGCTGAACACTACATAGTTGCTACAAACTAAACAGGTAACATCTCCAGTCTATCCCATGGATTTTACCATGTCAATTATCATTAAATATGACAGTGTTAATGATCTAGGCCTGAAGATTTTCTGTGAATTAGAGAAGTTTCTCCATGTGAAAAGCTAGCTTTGTCAGTGCTTTGACTTATTCATCAAAAATTCATCTGTCTTGATGCACCTTATTTTAGTAAGTTTTATGGGAGCCTTTCATCAAAAAGGAAAAAGTGGGTGGACATTTAATTATAATACTTTCCTCCAACCTACAAAGC